CAGGAGAGAGACCCTATGAATGTAATGAATGTGGAAAAGCTTTCAGGCAGAGCTCAGAGCTGATTACTCATCAGAGAATACATAGTGGAGAGAAACCCTATGAATGTAATGAATGTGGAAAAGCCTTCAGTTTGAGCTCAAACCTTATCAGACATCAGAGAATTCATAGTGGAGAGGAACCTTATCAGTGTAATGAATGTGGTAAAACCTTCAAAAGGAGCTCAGCCCTCGTTCAGCATCAGAGAATTCATTCTGGGGATGAAACTTATATATGTAATGAATGTGGGAAGGCTTTCAGGCACAGATCTGTCCTTATACGCCATCAGAGAGTCCACACTATAAAGTAATTTGTGAATACTCTAAATAGTGTAAATACTTCAGTCAAATTTTTATGTTTGTTAGTCAAAAGAGTTTACTTTAGAGCTAAATGCCGTAAAGGTTATAAAATACTAGGTCTTGAGTCTAGCTTGCTTTGTGCAGTATTTCCCAGTGCTAAAATGTTCCTTGAAAGCTTTTCCTGTGACTAATCGGAAGACAGAAAAATCATTACTTTCTGCTCTTTTCTTATCATTAGGAATACTCAGGAAATATGAAAAATGGGAATGTAACATTGAAACCTCATTTTCTGTGAAAATGTCATGAGAAGGATATAGCAACCCAAGCTCTGTCACTGCATCTGATTGTTAGTGTACCATCTTAGGGGGCTGATGTGGACCGTGTGAGGCACTTAGTCTCAGAACTTAAAAAAAAAAAAAAAAAATTACTGACCCAATAACAAATAGTGACAAAGCAGCAAGAAAAGTGGGGAAATGGCTTCATCAATGATTTGTTGAGCCCCAGGCAGGCCAGGAATTAGATAGGCATGAGAAAGAATATAAATTAATTTACCCAAAGGTTATTTTTGAGTAGCTAGTTTACGCCAGGGACTAGAAATACAGTGGAAAACAAGACCATAATCTCTAGAGTCTAATGGGCAAGGCAGCCAAACAGGCAGTGACAGTGGAATGGTCGTTGCCATGTGACCTTAAGGAGCACCTGACTCAGCCTTGGATAAGGAAAAGGGGGAAACGGCCTGAAGGATGAGAAGGAGTTAGCCAAGGTGGTAGGCCAGGGATGAAGCTTCCCAGTAAAGAATAGCCAAAGGCCAGAAACAAAGTGTGGAGCATTCCTTGAGCTCCTGTTGTAGAGATGTCTTGTCTGTCAGAGAAGTCTGGGTCTGGCCAGACTCTTAAGTGTGCCAATAGAGAACTTCCTGTTAACAAACAAAACCTGGAGCCCTTGGACCACAGGGTAGTCAAGAGCTTTGTCTTGGTTTATGTGACCCCAGAGAAAGGGCAAGTATGTGGTTTCCTTTCCCAATTTGTAGGCTAGCCTAGAACTTCCATGAGGGTAGTGGTGGGAATGAAGAAGGGAAAGAGCCCAGCCTATACCTCAAGAGTCTGTTAGTGTTAAGACTCCCTCTCCCAGCCTTAAGATTCTCCTTTGATTCTAAAGACAATATCAGATTTCTTCTATTTCCAAGGCTCTGGATCAGAAGCTGCCATATCATTTGTTTCTGGGCCTGTATCCCCACAAATCCTAGTATATTCCCTTGGGCTTTGATGCTCAAAAACTATTTGTCAGTTGCTGGGTCTGTGGCATTCTTTAGGTACCTCGTACATGTTCAGTTTTGTCTTATGTCACCAGTATTTCATACCTTTTGCAAATTTTATTAGTGCTAAAAGGAAGTGACAACTGAAACTAATGTTCACAGTCAGTCGAGACTTCCCATTTCTGGGGGGACTAGCAGGAAAAGAATATTTAGACTAATGCTGAGTGCAAGATGGAATATTGTACATGTTAACCAGCAACACAAAGACTTATTCAGAAGACCTAATAGGTTGGAGGAATAACACACCTCACCAAAAACAAACCTGTATGGAAATCTAGAATCCTGTGCATAGAAAAAGAATTTTCATAAGGATAAAAAGAAGCAAAGAGAAGTAATGCTGTTATTGGGGTATACATCAGTGGACATGTGCTAACCAGTAAGAACAGCAGGAGGCCTAAAGGCCCAAGTTTGGGGAGAGAATATGGAAATAAATGGATGGCATCATTTGGAAAAGATTTAAGATATTAAAATACATGGTAAGAGCTACTCAACTCTTATTTTCCTCCTTTTCCACAAAGACCCGAAGAAACTGAAAAGGTAGGACATTAAGTAGGGGAATTGTATGTTGCAAAAGGGAAATACTCTTTATGCAAGAAAGCTCTTCTGTATGTCAGTAAGAAATGTAATAAGCCAAGCACAAGTGGCTCACAAGTATAATCCCAGCACTTTGGGAGGCCAAGGCTGGAGGATTGCTTGAGACCAGGAGTTCAAGACCAGCCAGGGCAGCATAGCAAGAACCCCATCTCTACAAAAAATCAAATCTGCCAGGTATGGTGATGCATGCCTGTAGTCCCAACTACTTGGGAGGCTGCGGTGAGAGGTTTACTTGAGCCCTGGATGTCAAGGGTGCAGTGAGTTGAGATCACACCACTGCACTCCAGCATGGGAGACAGAGCAAGACCCTGTCTCCAAACCAAAAAAAGGAAAAAAAGAAATGTAATAGATACTTGCTAAGGGCTTTGTATACCCTTATTAATGTTACTTCTCATCACAGTACATAGGTAGCAGATGAGGAAATGAAGGCTAAAGGTCATATATCTATAAAGTGGGGAAGCCAGAATTTGAACTCAGAACCTGACTGTGGAGCCACTTCAGTATACTGTCTCCCCATAAGTTCCAGTAGAAAAAAAATGCTACTTAAAAGTAGGAAAATCACAAAATAAGTGCCAATGAACAATACATAAATGTTCAACCTCACTACAGTTAAAATGTATATTAAAGCAAGAGGTGAGATGATACTTTTCTTTATAAAACTGACAGGGATTCAGGGACATTGGGACTCTAATGCTGTTGGTAAGACATGAATACATACTGTCTCTGGCAATCAATACCAGAAGCCTTAAGCATTGCCTTTTCACTTTGTACCTGGAGATGTATATTTCAGAAACCATCATGAATGTATGCAAAATCCTAAAAGCTGTTAAAACTGATTTCAACAGGCTGGGCGCAGTGGCTCACGCCTGTAATCCCAGCACTTTTGGGAAGCCAAGGCAGGTGGATCACCTGAGGTCAGGAGTTTGAGACCAGCTGACCAATATGGTGAAACTCTGTCTCTACTAAAAATACAAAAAAATTAGCCGGGCGTGGTGGCATGTGCCTGTAGTCCCAGCTACTCGGGAGACTGAGACGAGAATTGCTTGAATCCGGGCAGTGGAGGTTGCAGTAAGCCGAGATTGTACCACTGTACTCCAGCCTGGGTAACAGAGCAAGACTCTGTCTCAGAAAAAAAAACTGATGTCAACTAATATTAAATGAAGTATTCATGCTATATTGTTAAGTAAAAATATTACAATATGTACCATATGATCCCATGTAAAATATATATTTATGCATTAAAAATACTGAAAATATTTAAACTCAAAGTGCTATACTGGTTATCTCTGGGTGCTGAGGTTGTAGGTGATGTAATTTTTCTCTGGTGTTTTTCTGTGTGTTTTCCAAATTTTTCTATAGTAAATATCTAATACTCTTAGGAGGAAAAGTGAATGGAAGTCCAGGATACTTGAGAAAATATTTTAAAAGGCACTTGCTGGCGGGCACAGTGGCTCACACCTGTAATCCCAATTCTTTGGGAGGCTGAGTTGGGCAGATCACCTGAGGCCAGGAGTTTAAGACCAGCCTGACCAACATGGAGAAACTCTATCTCTACTAAAAATACAAAATTAGCCGGATATAGTGGTGCATGCCTGTAATCCCAGCTACTTGGGAGGCTGAGGTTGCAGTGAGCTGAGATTGCATGACTGCACTCCAGTCTGGGCAACAGGAGTAAAATCTGAAACAACTTGCTTTTCATAGCATCTCTGTTTCTTCCAAGTCTCAGGAAATTAGCTAACTTGTTAATTCCGATCCCTTCATCATTGGTAAAATGACAATGGCAAACATATCCATCTCACACATAGTATATTAAAAAGTCTACAAATTATAAATCCTCGTGCAAAAGCAATTACTTGCCTGAAAGATTTACAGTTCAGAAAAGCAATAGCTTTGAAGTGGAGATCTTTGAAGGTCTTTTATTATTAGAGCTTTTCCATGTATTCTGTAGCCATAAGCAAGTCACCTTCCAACTCTAGACTCTCACTTTAAAGAAGCTGATGTATTCAACATTCCATTTTTTATGAAATGGAAGGGGCACGAATATAAGGTGGATGTCAAAGGAAATTTTTTCTTCCTTCACCACTCTTGGAAGAAAAGTAATTCATGCCTTTCCCTTCTGCTCAGGGCTGTCCTGTTTCTCTTGGTATAGAAGCAGTCTGGGGAGTAATAATGTCTACCTTAAATGAATCTTACACAGATTTTAGAAGATAATGTGCAATTTAGGCAATAACATTGGTTTCCTGCCTTTCCCCACCTTCCTCATTTCCATTGCCTGCGACTAACACATCCAGCTGAAAGGATTGGAAATTTAAAGCAAATCTGACCCTCATCTCTCTGAGCTCAAGGAGAACCTGCTGAGGGAAGAAGGAAGTCATGGCAGGTCCACAGGTCTAAGTTTGGTCTTTCTCAGCAACTAGTGTTGAAGATTCCAATCTGGTACATGTGGCCACCTCCTCTAACAGGACGAGAAAGTCCTCATTCTGATGGACATAGGATGTGTTTATGTTTAAAGATGACCCTTCTTGCTCTCATTCCCATTGTCTTTCAACAACAACTGAATCTCAGATGCCCTCTCACTTTGGTTAACCGCAGCCCCAGAGACTGGCTATTTTAGTTTACTGACATTTTTTGGCCCAGGAAATAGAAACTGAGAACACCAATTCCCTGTCTTCTTCCCACAACCTCTTCCCCATCCTCGTATCATTAGCTCCATGCATGTTGTGTTCCCTATTCCTGAGTGAATAATTTCAAAGCAAACTTTTAAAACTCAAGTTTTATTACATCTTTCATTACATTCTAATAATAAACAGTTGAAGTATACACTCAAAAGTATAAATTTTGAAATTAGTTACCAAAAATTATTTACTAAACAGTTTTACTAAAAATAATAGGATTGGGAAAAATAAACACTAATAGACAGTACTCCAAAATGTTAACGTTTCTATGGACAATGAGATTCGGGGTGGTTTACGCTTTCTCATTTTCTGTATTACCAATATTTAGAATTCACAATCAGGAGAGAAACCTATTAAATGATATTTAAAACATTAAATCTGATTGTCACCTATAGGAAAAGGCAACTCGCTATCCATTTGAAGGATCCCTTTAGACTTCTGATCTACCTCACTTGATAACTGCACAACCTCTAGACACAAAGGGAATGAATTGTCCCCTAAATTTCACCTCCCCTATTAGCCACAACTGCAGTAATATGGTTTGGCTCTGTGTTCCCACCCAAATCTCATCTTGAATTGTAATCCCCAGGTGTTGAGGGAGGAACCTGGTGGGAGATGATTGGATCACAGGGGCAGATTTCCCCCTTGCTGTTCTCATGATAGTGAGTGAATTCTCATGAGATCTGTTTTTTTGGTAAGTGCCTGGCATTTCCCCTGCACTCACTCTCTCGCCATCTTGTGAAGAAGATGCCTGCTTCCGCTTCACCTTCAGCCATGATTTAAGTTTCCTGAGGCCTCCCCAGCCCTGCAGAACTGTGAGCCAATTAAACCTCTATTGTTTATAAATTACCCAGTCTGGGGCAGTATCTTTATAGCAATGTGAAAATGGACTAATAGAAGCAGTGATTACAAGTCTTCTTTAGAAATGACACCATCTAGAAGGACATCTTAGTAGAGGAATCAAACTTTCTCTTAGATAATTAATTGCCCTCAGCAATTGTGGGTTAATTAAAAATGCCAAAATAAAAATTAGCAGAGAGACTTACAGGCAGAGGTTATAGCACATACAATGAAGATAAGATAGCATCTGGAGACACCCCTTCATCAGGACTCTTCTCTGCAGCAGGAATTAGTTACCATAAAGCCTGGCTCAGAATCCCCATGTGTTTGGTTTCCCTTTTTCTACTTACAATCACAGAGTTGGGGAGCCTATCCTAGACCCAGCGTGACCTATGAGACCCTAAAGTGCTCAGAATTAGTGTGGTGGGAGACTCCGGTGCATCTGATGGGAAAAGGCATGTATGCACACAGGGAAAGAATGCGTATCAGAGGCCCGAGAGACAGTGGGGACTGGAGTATGTCTTATGACTCTGGGACTCAGGAAGTGGGAAGCATAAAGGAACACAGTGATCTGCGGGCATGTATACACATAGGGAAAGAATGCATATCAGAGGCCCAAGAGACAGTGGGGACTAGAGTGTTTGTGTCTCATGACTCTGGGACTCAGGAAGTGGGAAGCATAAAGAAACACAGTGATCTGCCTTCCCAGGCTCCACTATTCCCCATTCCCTGCCCCCTCCCCTCCTTACCAGGCTTGCAGACCCTGAGCTATTATACTTGAGGGCAGTAAATATTTGTTGAATTACTCCCTCAGGTTCCTTTAAAAAAAAATAGGTCTATGACAATTTCTGCAGTAGAGTCGTGATGAAGGGGTGTCTCTAGATCCTGTTCTTCTCTTTTCCCCTGCTCTTGCTACCTTCTACCCACCTTTAGGTCTAACTGCGATGTCATCACATCCAGGAAGTCTTTAGTGATTCATAGACCATGTTTAGGTATCTCTGCCATGTACTTTGCCAGAATCCTGCATTTTTCCTACCAAAGCATTTATCACACTTTACTGTAATTACTGTTTAGTATATATGCATATCCTATTAGCCCTTAACTCTTGGAGGGCAATGACCATGTTCAACTCAATGCATAGCACATAGCAGGTGCTCAATAAACAAGTAGACCTGCATTGACCTCAGCAGGAAACTCAGGGTTGAGGAGAGAACTGGCAAGGGGGCAGAATGAGGCAGCATTCCTTAGGTACTATTTAACTGCCTCAGATACTATTAAACTAATAGCATAATTCAGTATTTCACAATCTCTGAATCCAACATTTCAGATAGTTGAGTAACTCTCAACACATGCCTTCACCCGCCAAAATACAAATGCTCTTTCCAGGTACATTTGCCATCTTATAAGATGCTCTTTCAAGATCTGTCCCAATCCTGACACTACTGTGAAGATGCCCAGTGGAAACTGTATCTGAGTTGGCAGAGAGTGGAGTGAAGGGGATACTGATAGGTCTTATCTGGAAATGGGTTAGGCATTTCAAGGAAATATCTACCATTCTTTTTGGAGAAGACCTGGGTAAAGTTTTCTTCCATTCAACACGTCAATAATCATAACAAACATCTTTGTGTGGATGTCCTCTTGGAGTACTGAACTGGGCTGGAAGGACAGAAGTCCTGCTCTCAGGAAACTTCTATTTTCTGTGGAGTCTCACCCCTACAGTGAATTTCTTGCATTTCACAATTGTACAACTCTTACCCACAGAGTTAAACTCTGGTGTGTGTTCTCTGATGCTGCATAAGGCCTGACCTATGCCTAAATGTTTTTCTACATTCACTACATTCATAAGGCTTCTCTCCAGTGTGAATTCTCTGGTGCTGGGTGAGGGCTGAGCTCTGATTGAAGGATTTTCCACATTCATTACATTCATAAGGTTTCTCTCCAGTGTGAATTCTTTGATGTTCAATAAGGATAGAGCTCCTACCAAAAGCCTTACCACACTCAATACATTCATAGCCTTTATCTCCTGTGTGAATTTTCTTATGCTGAATAAGGGCTGAGCTCCGGCTGAAGGCTTTCCCACATTCTCCACATTCATAAGGCTTCTCTCCAGTATGGATTCTCCGGTGCCTGATGAGCTCTGAGCTGCCCCTGAAGGCTTTTCCACATTCACAACATTCATAAGGTTTTTCACCACTATGAATTCTTTGATGTCTAACAAGGTCTGAGCTCAAACTGAAGGCTTTGCCACATTCTTTACATGCATAAGGTCTCTCTCCAGTATGAATTCTCTGATGTCTGATCAGCTTTGAGCTCTGGCAAAAAGCTTTCCCACAGTCAAAGCACTCATAGAGTTTTTCCCCAGTGTGAACTCTCTGTTGTGTAATATCATTTGAATTCATACTGAAACTTCCTTCACTCTCATGAGATTCAAGGACACTGTGTTCTGTGGGGATTCTTTTGTTAAAGGTTGACAGAGTAAAATGTCTTTCCTGAGAAGGAAGCTGACTGATTTTGTTCCCTGCAACATTACCCTTTTGCTTCTTAGAGTTGTCCAGACCTCCCAAAGCTTCTTCAACTATCTGTTTGGAAGGTGTTTCCCCAGGAAGTTTTCCTGGAGATATCATAGCTGCTGAGGCTACACATTCAATAATTTCTTGCTTTGCCATCAACACTTTGCCAGCCACCATCTTGCCGTCTACAAATGTGAATAGAAAGTGCAGGTAGCATTTACTTCCCATGACAGAAGAAAGGAAACTGTTGTAGCAGGAACAGAAAATAAACCTAATGAAATAGATATTTATCTATTAAAAGGACAATTCTGAAAACTAGATTCCCAATCTAGAAATCAGAGAAGTAGCCTGGGGTAGCAAAATACGGCCCCCCTCAGAGAGTAATGTAGACAAAGAAATGAATTAGTATTGGAGAAGAGTGACAGTGAACAAGATATTAGTTAGAGGAAATAGTGACAAACAGTAATATTGCTGATAAACCAGGAAGCCAGGAGACAATCCTGGGTTAGGGAAGATGCATTTTTAGATAATGAGATAATGGGGGGAAAAAGTAAAAAGAAATGGTCAGGATAAAGAAAGATATCTAAGAGGCTTAAATCTGTGGTCTCCTAGCAACATCAGAGAGCAGAAGATATGATTAGGAAATACTCTGAGAGTTAGCACTGAACAGAGGTAGGGGGCAGGAACTAGAAAGCATTAAAGCAATTTCAGAGTCTGATAGGTTTCAAATGAATCAAATCATTATAAGCAAACAGAATAAGACACAGACCCAGAGAAAAGACATACAGGTTCCTGACTCATTCTTGAGTCAGGTGGGAATTTTTTTTAACATTAAAAATTTTTTTCACTTAAATCATCCATGGATACAAAAGAATCTTATAGTTTTACTTCTTAAAATGTATAAGTGGCCGAAGAAAGGGGTGGAGACAACTCCTTCTTTGAGCATTTATACATAAAAACATGACTGCCCAGAGCCAAATCTTCTGGCTCTCACACAACATGCCCCATCTTTAGTAGTCTCCCATTATGAGTTACTGGATATCTATCTTGATAACTACAGTAACTCATAATAGGAGGCTACTAGAGATGGAGCATATTATATCAGCCATCTACTGGTTATATCTAGGGATTTCTAGTGACTAGAAATGGCTGATATAACTTGAATTATTTTATTCTGAAAAATTGTTAAGTTGGTCTCATCTTCCCAAAAGTCCTCTAAACGTATATGCATTTTATAGATCAGGAAACAGGCTCAGAGAAGCTAAGTGAGGCCACAGAATTAATAATTGTTGGAGTTAGGATTCAAATAAACATTCTTAACATCAAAGCTTGCAATCTTTATGCTATCTGCCTTCCCAATTGGAAGGATGCAGGGCCATAGTTGCACTGAAATGAAATGTAACTTAAAAATCATTTAAATTTGGCTTTGGAAAAGCATTATATTTTTATATAAAAATGAATACCTATTTCTGATATTGAGTTCACAACATTTCAAACACAACAAAAAAGCATCACAGCTGATACCTGACAAAAGGAGAGGGCTGTCTGGCTTCCCGTTTCCCTATTCCTTACCAGAAATTAAACACAGACAACATCACCTCTAAAATTCATACTGCCCTTAAATTTTAGATAGAAATTTGAATTATTCAGTTTCACTTATTCAAAAAGAAAACATTTATGAAAAAATATGCTTGCATATAATAAAGGCATAAAAATTAAAAGTACGAAATACGTTAAAGTCAGAGGCCTGATAACCTAATGATAAATTTTCTAAAAGTAAGAAATAGGTCAAATTATTAAGAGTACCAATTATAGGGTATAAAGTGACAATATAATTGTGTTAGAACAAAATTAAAGGCAATGAAAATCAGAAAAGCAATGTAACTTATCTTACTTTAAATATATCTTCAAATTCTATAACTACATAAAGTTAAATTATGAGACCAGAGAAAATCTAACCTCAGATGTATACATCAGGAAGACATCAAGATTTTCATTTGTTCAACTATATATTATTATATTAAAAAATCAGAATAGATAGCTAACTAGAGTAATTCTTAGAAAAGACAAATAGAGATTACAATCAGAGGCTGGGTATGGTGGCTCACACCTGTAATCCCAGCACTTTTGGAGGCTGAGGCAGGCAGATCACTTGAGGCCAGGGGAGTCTAAGATCAACCTGGCCAATTGGCAAAACCCTGTCTCTACTAAAAATAGAAAAATTAGCTAGGCATGGTGGTGCATGCCTATATTCCCAGCTACTCAGGTGGCTAAGGCACAAGATTCACTTGAACCTGGGATGTGCAGGTTGCAGTGAGCCAAGATCATGCCACTGCATAGCAGAAAGATACTGTCTCAAAAACAAAGAAAAAGAAAGATTACAATAAGAAATGGTCACTTATTTAGAAATACTGGCATAGTGATAACCCAATGAATCCAATTAATATCTCCCAAGAATGAAAACGGATTCATAATCAGGCCCAAGTCTGGAGGCTGGAGGGTGGGGTACAAATGTATAGAAGGATCTTTGGAGAAGAAATAAAGTACAGGTTTCTCTGTTAGAAGAGCTCTTCTGTTTTTGTTTGTTTGTTTGTTTTTAACAGAGTCTTACCCTGTCACTCAGGCTGGAATTTAGGGTACAATTATAAGACACTGCAGCCTTGAAATCCTGGACTCAAGAGATCCTCCCCCATCAGACTCCCCAGTAACTAGGAGTACAGGTGCACATCATTCCACCCAGTTAATTTTTAAAATTTTTTGTAGACATGGGGTCTTGCCAGGTTGCCCAGACTGGTCTTGAACTGCTGGGCTCAAGCAATCCTCCTGGCTCAGCCTCCCAAAGTGCTGGGACTACAGGAATGAGCCACCACACCCAGCTAGCTATTCTCTTTAACACACCTCCTGTTATTCCCACTTGTTCTCTGGGGTGGCTCCTCAGTGAGTTCTGCCAGCTCAGCACTTCAGTGAGCAATTCCATCCTGTTTGGTTTAAAATCCTTTTAATTAGGGTTGTGGTCTTCAAATGCACATTGAGGAGTATGCTTTTAGCCTTAATGCTATGTCAGTGATGCCACTGCTCACCTAGTTCCCCTTTACCAATACGATGTCTCCTTCCCTCAGCCACTGTGAATTTTGGCTTCCTATGATCTGAATGTCTCTGTCTCCCAAAAATTCATATGTTGAAGTCCTAACCCCCAAGGTGATGGTATTAGGGAGTATGGCTTTTTGGAAGGTGACTAGGTCTTGAGGGCTTAATGCCCATTTTATAAGGGCCTAGGGTGCTCATTTGCCCCTTACACCATGTGAGGAAACATGAAAAGGTGTCATCAATAAGAAAGTGGGACCTCACCAAATACCAAATCTGCTAGCACCTTGAACTTCTCAGCCTCCAGAACTGTAAGAAGTAAATCTGTGTTGTTTACAAGCCATTTGGTTGATGGCATTTTGTTATAGCAATTCTAACAGATTAAAACAGCTCCTAACTACACAGAAGTGCCTCCTTCTGTAGAGTTACCCTGGCTGATGACAGCCACTTGGCCCAGGAAGTACCTTCCTCCCTCATTGCCCCATCTCTGCCTCAAGAAGAGACAATTCTGCAGTGCAATTATGCTTCAGAGGCCCATGAAACACTCCAAGGATTAGACCAAGGCTGATTGTAACTGAGACCACATCACGGCTTGCTCTTTTCCCTTCCTAATCCTGCTTCTCTCCCTCCATTAGAGATTTTTCCTGAAGAACACATCCTCAATAAATCACCTGCACCCAAATCTCCATCTCAGGCTCTACTTCTGGCAAGGCAAACTATAAAGCTAGTGAAACACCTACAAGAAACTTATAATTCAAGTTTGTAAAAATGGCATGATAACTCTTACAACCATAACACAGTGGGCCCCTCCAGCAACTTAAACCTCATGACCTAGGTGAAAGCTGTAAAAGGATCCACATTAAATCTTCAGAGGCAGGGCTGACTAGGACTTTAAGACTGAAAAGAGACTAGCATAAGGGAGACTTAAGAGGAATCCAGTCAAGGCCATTCATGACCATGGGACCAGGCATAAACGGAGAATGAGTAAACCTTGTTTAGGCCAAGGACATTGGAAAGATAGAACCACTATTACTGATAAGCTGACTAAATCAATAATATACTGCCACTATGAAGTAGTAAACAAATAAAAAGTTATGGCCGGGCACGGTGGCTCACGCCTGTAATCCCAGCACTTTGGGAGGCCGAGGCGGGTGGATCACAAGGTCAAGAGATCGAGACCATCCTGGTCAATATGGTGAAACCCCGTCTCTACTA